CAGCTTCCTTGAGGACTCGTTGTTGGCGTTGACGTCGCCGTGGTTGTCCCGCCGGTGACATCTATAACGAAACTCCCGCCATTTTTTAAGCTGATTGACGACGATGCGGAAACGGCGGTGGCGATTCCGTCTTGGAATAGCTCGAAACGGTAACCGAGTGTGTCGGAGTAACCGGATTCACGCCATGCCTCTAACCTTCCCCATGGCTTCCATGTGCAACCGTCGGGTCGGAGAATGAGCCAAGCTCCGGGACTTGATCGTGTCACTCGGTTCGAACCAGGAGATGGGACGAATGGTGTGACCATTGAAGCCATTGCTACTGGTGACCCGGAAAGATCATGGACCGTTATCGACCAACCTTTTCTCTCTTTCGATGGTTGTTCCTTTTCCGATTTCATCGACGATATGCAACTTCTAGTTGAGATTGAATCGGACATCATTGAAGAACTGTAGAAATTGAAACACAAAATCAATTTAGAATCACAAATTCGTACAAAATCAAATAACAGATCCTAAGTTTGAATTGAATAGTCGCGAATATCTCTTGCTAGATTATCAAGTAAAGAATATATCTGAAAAAGGCACAATGATTCTATTTTCTAATCAAAGCTAATTCTAAGTGAAGACTGACCTGTGAATAAGATTCCGATCACCGGAGTTTGAGTTTCTGGATCCGAATTTGCAAGTGAAGACGGCTTGTTTAGTGTTTCGTTGGACTTGGAAAACCTGAGGACTACACTCTGGCTCACCGTCGAACTGGAAAACGAATCTCGGGTCAGGTTCGACCCGTACACTAACGTGGAGCTCCGGATCAGATCCAGCTTTATTCCTGGATTTTCCCCCTTTCTTAGACCCTAAAGCAACCCATCCGTTATGCGCCAAACACGTCTTCGTCTCCGCCGATTTCAAATCCAACGAAACCTCGAATCTACCAAGCAACTTCTCGCCCGCCGTCGCGAGTCCACACGACGCGCCGCTAACGCCGTCAACGTCGCCGTTTCCGCGTGAGTAAGTCTCGACGGAGAGAACACTCCACTTAGGTTTCTTCAGTGAAGCTTCGATCTGAGTTTTGCTAAGACTGAAACAAGCGGCAACGGTGGAGATGTTACCGGAGCAACGAGTCGTCTCGGATTCAGATTCAGTTCGGTACATAACCGGAACAGTAACGATCTGACGAGGAAAACTCTTGAATCTGATTTTGCAGTAACAGTTTGGAGCCGATACAGTGGAAGGCTGAATACCGGAAACAGACGGTCCAGATGAAGACGAGGAAGAAGACGTCGCCGGAAACCTAACGGCTAAGTTTCCGACTATGATCCGTACGAAAGAGCACGGATCCATTGAAATTGAGATTGGATTATTCTACAACGGTTTTGAGATTGGCGAGAGGAGTAAGCAAACAAGTAATGGTTTTAAGGTTTTAGAGAGAGATTCACGTTT